ATATATATATTTATACAATAATATATATATTGTCACTATAATTAATTTGCCTTTTACTTTATGTTATATATATATATATATACTACAAATAAATAAATTAACTTGTTACAAAATAAACGATATTAATGAAAATAACATATCGTGATATGATTTACCTACCGTAAATAAATGTAATATGTGCAGGTAAATTAATCCGTTCTCTCTTTTATTTATAAGGCTAGCGAATTTTCAATCTATTGAAATATCGAAAATGTTAATACGCGTATATATACATCATTGATTAGATACAATCCTTTTAAGTCGGTAGTTAAGAATCATCCGGGACTTCCGCTGCGGGTACTAATAATTATTCTCGCAGATTTATTTATATTTAAGACACTATCTTTAGCGGCATTGAATTGATCAAGTTACCAAACGACTACGATTATCATTGAAAATTATAGGACAAGTATAGCATTCCTAAACATGTGGTGCGGGTATACTAAATTATTACTATTTCGAAATTATTCATAGTATTTTCAAAATCGACGCTTTGAACTATTTATTTAATTTCACACACCTTATTTTATATTTTATAAAAACTTAAAAAACAAAAATTTTTAAACTGTTCTCGTATTGCAAAAGTATAACATTGAAAAATATACGATAGCACTGGTTATCAGTGAACTTCTTTTTTTTCCGGTATGCATGTCAATTAGTATATATATATATAGATATATATATGCAAATGATATAATAATATAAATAAAATATATACCAATAAAATAATGAATTATTCATCCATTAAACATTTTGTTAATTGATTCACATTTGATTAAATAACGTGATATCATTTTTATAACAAGTTTAATGAGGAAATTATTCAAAAAAAGATAATATGATATATTATATTTATATTAATTTTAATTAATTATTTTTTTAACAGAAAAATGTAAAACTCGCTCTTATATATGTATATATATATATATATACATATGTTTTCTGTAAGTATTCGATGGTAATTTAAAATTTAAAAGCAAACTGTTGTAGTGTGAAATTATTATACATACACACACGTATCAATAAATATACGATCGAAGGAAACATCTGTGTATAATGATATCTAATTAAAGTTAGTTACAACTAAACCTTCATTCTGATAGATTTACCTAATAA